GGAAAATTCCAGATCCTTTGCATTTCTCCACAGTTCGCATTCACGCTTCTTGCGCCTTTCGATCGGACGATGCTCCATTGCTCGCAAGTACATCCACTGCTCGCTATCGCGATATTCCGGCCAGCGAATTGCTCCAGGGCCATCAAAATTCGGCTCACTGCATCACAATTAATTAATTCAGTAAGTTTCAAATCTTCAAAAAGACATTGTCTTTAAGCATTTTTGATCTGGCATAATGCGTTCTAAAACTAGCGCGACGTTTTATTTGTCAGCCTGACTTGGACGTCAGTAAAAACTTTAGTGTGACCAAGTTCACTTGTTACGCTGAGATGTAGCCATCATGCCAAGCACAGCTGCCACAGGGCTTGCCAACCCGATGGTACTCCCTCAGATGCCTTCGCCATAGTGCATCTGGGAGACAGCAATAGTATTGTTTAAAGTCGATGCGACCAAGCCCTGCCACTCTTCCCGATCTGTTGAACTTACCAGAACTCAAAACTTGCGATGCTTCGGCGAATCCAGTGGCACCAATCATTTCCACAAATAATAAAATTTTTTCTTCCATTTTAATAAAGTTTTTTTTTTTTCAAATTATGTAATTTCTAAAAATAAAGGAAATGTACCCGAAATTGGCGAAATGAGTCCAATATTTCAGCACTTTTTCACTAAAAATGCGCTCTTGTGAGGTATATCCAGCTGTGAAATTGTACAGAGGTACTCCGAAGACAAACTCAATCTCATAACCATGCATTACGCCAGCCCATTTCGGCCATGGATTCGCGCTGGAAATTTTAAACAGTTTTGCTACTAAACCAGTTAGATGCGGATTTTAAAAGATTCCATTCAGCGTAAAGCCGAAGAAAGGCATGGGTTTGCCTGGCGCTTTCATTCTTTCACAGTTTAAGGAATAATTAGGGACTAAAAATCCTGCAGTGAAAGGAAGGTTTGTATTATCATACATTTTGATCAAAAAAAAGCCCGATTCGGTTGGGACTGATGGGAACAAATTTTATTTTCTGAACTGGTGCTAACACATTACTAGTTTCCGAGCACAAGTGAACACGGCTAAAATAAACTACAAAAAAAATATCAAGAAGTGGGATGTTCGAAGTGCGGTTCAGTTATCAACGATCTATACATATGTGAATATATAAGTGTACGCCCATACATGAATATTTACAAACTTCACAATCTTCATACTAAATTAGTTCTGTGCATGAAAAAAGCAAACCATTAAAGAGCAGTTACTATATAAAAATTTAATTCTGTTCACTACTCAAACCCGAGTACCTCTGCCCCTCATACGAGTCAATGCGAAAAGGGGCAAGACTTTTACTCCGGCAAGACATGAATTTGGCGTAAATACGTGCCGAGCAAAATCACATGACAGGTAACTGTTCACACCTGGAGGGCTGGTCGAAATAGTATATGTAAATTTTGCCACTCGCCGTTTTCATGTGCTCGGCA